CTAGGTGCTGGGGATATAACAGGGAACAAGACAAATATGCTCCTTTCCTTTGTGGAGCTTAGATATTAGCGGGGGTGCTACTCAAGCAAGGAAACCAATGAATACAGAATCAAATGACAAGTAATGTTGGATTAGTCAGGGTAGGCTAGGTGATGCTGTGGTAAGTCACCAAATCTCAATAGCATAATCCAACAAAGGTTTACTTCTCATGCATGGCAAGTCAGTGGCTGGTCCAGGTGACTATTCAAGGCAGCTGTTCTCACCCCTCTGAGATGCTTACTCCATATCAGCACATTCTTGCCTCAGAGAAGAGTGGACTGGAGAATTAAACAGCAGCAGTTAAAGTTTTTGTGGGTGTCGCTCGTAAAAGCTTCATATTTTATTGGACATAGCAAGTCATGTGGCCATTCCTACTTTCAGTGAAATGGAGAAGTGTGAGTCTTGCTAATCCTAGTGGTAAAGGAGGTCCAGATGTGCCCGCCACAGTATTGAGTGCTACGAAAAATGTATATAGAGAGTTGGTGGATAGTGTGCATTTTTTAAAAAGATAATGGAAGCAAAATAAACATGAGCTTTATGTATATTATTGCTTAGAATTCTAATAAAGTTCACATGGATTTCAGAAAAAATTGAGTCAACTTAAAGAAAATTATTTTTATTGTTTCAAATTGGTACTCAGATATGAGAAAAAACATTAAGGTCATTTGTGAATGGTTGAAGTTTGAGACATACTGATTTGTTAAATCTACTTGAGGACATGGATAATAATACCGTATTTATACTGGTACCCTCGATTTTTCAGGCCCAGAATAGAGGCTCAGTAAACTGTTGTTGAAGTTAATATTGTTCATTGTTTTAAACTGCTCTTGCTTTTCTACTTAACTGTCTTGAACTATAGTCCATTGTAGTTCTGTCTTGAGGCTTGAAATTTTCTTCCAAGGCCAATTTTTATTGTCTTTATCTACATTAATATTTTTACATTCAATTGTCATTTAAGTTTGGGCCACACATACTTGAATGGTAGTCTCTTTCTTCTTATTTGTCTCAGACATTTTCTTAAACCATTGGTAAGGATTCAGTAGGAGAAAAGAAAGTTGTAACATTAATGTTGGAATTTGCAATCTACCATCTTGTCTTTAAGAAAACAAACAAACAACTTTTATGTTTCATACTCATTTGGCAACTGCTGGGTTGGAAAGAGATTTCACAAATTTGAATAAAGTGGGCAGGAAATGCCACAATTTTTGCCTTTTATGTTTTACTCAAGGTCATGGATGTCTTTCTTAAAGGTAAAATAGAATACTCCTTTTGAAGATAGTATGATTATGGTTTTTCCTTATATCTCTACTGTTCTTTTACTTTTGACTAAGTCTTTGTAATTTACAAAAATAAATCATCCAGGGCTTCCCTGGTGGTGCAGTGGTTGGGAAGCCGCCTGCCAATGCAGGGGACACGGGTTCGAGCGCTGGTCCGGGAAGATCCCACATGCCGCAGAGCAACTAAGCCCCGGCGCCACACCTACTGAGCCTGCGCTCTAGAGCCCGCAAACCACAACTACTGAAGCCTGTGTGCCGCAACTACTGAAGCCCGCGTGCCTAGAACCTGTGCTCTGCAACAGGAGAGGCCACCGCAGTGAGAAGCCCACTCACCACAACGAAGAGTAGCCCCCGCTCGCTGCCACTGGAGAAAGCCCGCATGCAGTAATGAAGACCCTACGCAGCCAAAAAAAAAAAAAAAAAAATTAAAATCAATCAATCAATCAATCATCCAGAGAGGGGACCCAGTTCTTCTCTGAGTGGCTAGGTCAAGGGCAAACCAGAAGAGTCTCTGTCTCTGCCCAATTGCCCCTTATTTCAATACCATCACTTCCCCATCTCTGGATATATGTCTGAAACATCCTCTCAATTCTGTTAGCCAAGAACTTGTCTTAAATGAGTGCCTCTCCAGTCTGTGCTGTGAATCACGTGAATCTATAAGAGTCCATGCCCTTTGATGCAGTTTGCTGCTTTTGGATTTGTACAAAATTTGTTTATTTGGCAAATGGCACACAGCTGGCTTTAGAGAGTGCCTTAAACTAGTTCCCTCCTACCTTAACTTGATCGTTTAAATGGAAAATGCTGCAGCTCCAACACAGCAGACATGATATAAAAACTATTTCTGACATGACTATCTTGCCCCCCAAATCTCCATGGCTACTGGGATCTCAGGGAAAAAAAAATAAAAAATGAATGAAACACAGGTTTTACCATCCTCACAAGGGCTAAACTGTCTTTACGTTATTTAAGAAAAGCTTTAAATGTTCAGTGAATGTTCTTAAGCTAATGACAATTAGTGCCCAGAAAATACCGATAATCCAATGGAATAGAATAGATTTTGGGAAGTGGGAATTTGTGTAGAAATTGCTCATAGTATTGACACATACTGGGAACTTTGCATATAAGTGGGCTATAGCGTACACTGAGAGGAGTTATATATTTGGCTTTTTATTTGTAAATAAGACAGTAGTCCTTTCCCTTTAAGGAGCATCTTGGCAGTTATGAATGAAAGACTACTGATGTCCTTTGTCCAAAGTGGCCACGTTGGCAGAAGCATCTTGGCAGTTATGGAGGAGCATCTTGGCAGTTATGAATGAAAGAATACTGATGTCCTTTTTCCAAAGTGGCTGTGTTGGCAGAAGCCATCTAGGATCCTGATCCTAGGTGTCTTATAACTTGGAGGAACCGCAATCTTTCATTTAGGAAGACAGCATTCTGTAGTTGAAGATGATTTGGATAGAGTCCTGGCTGCACTGTTAACCATCACTAATTTAGCTTTCCCCACCAAATTCCGCCAAGGCTTGTAGATCTTGTCCCAGCCTCATTCTCTACTCTTCACTCCTCTACTCTTTACTTGCTCCCTTCCAGCCCCTGCACTATATCTGGCACATTCCAAAGACACATGCTTGCTGCCAGGCTTTCTGTTCTTACTGGTCCCTCAGCCTGGGATGCTCTTCTCCAGGTGCAGGCTTGTGTTTATTGAGCAGATCCAATAAGTACCAAGGTGTTATCAATGCTTCACATGTTTAACTCAGTGAATTCTCATAATAACTGTATGAAGTGGGCAGTGGCATCGGTTGGAGGAGGCGCCTTGTTCTGATCTGTGTAGCACTATATCCCCTGCACCCAGCACTATATCCCCTGCACCCAGAAATGTACTGAAAGATGGATATGAGTTGGGTTAGAGTTGTTTCTGATATTTAAGATGTCTTATTCTTCAGACATTTACGGAGCAACCATTTGGTGCCAGATGCCATGCCAGTTTTAAAAAAGATGAAGGTAAACAAGAATGATGGGACCTCCTCCTTTCCTGCTTTTCCTGATGCTTTTAGAGCATCGTAGAGAAAACAGGCAATTCATAGGTAGTGACATAGGATGAGCATTACATTAGGGTAAATACAAGGTGCTGTGGGAAAGCCAGAGTGCATACGAAGCCACTGGGTGTGGGTGGTGCTGAGACCAAAGGGCGGGCTGGAGGATCTGCTGAAGGTGGGTCTGGGAGAGCCCCCCTGGCAGAGGGGATGACCGAAGGCCCTGAGAGCACAGCCCAGACCTGAAAGCAGGGCAGTGTCACCCAGGCATCAGACATGGGGGACAGGGTCTACTGCCTGCCTCTGGAGAAGAAAGTTAGGTTTTTAAGTGACTTGAAAAGTATACCAAAAGTCAGGACTCTATTGTCTGAGTAGTGAGATGCTGCAAAGAATTTTAAAATCAATGGGATTTTTATTTAGTATCTGATTCAGTTGACTCTCTCCAGCTAGGTAAGTTGGAAGTAGTTCCATTTTCTAGATGAGACCTCTGAGTCCCAGAAGAACACATAAACATTGGCAGACTTGATTTAATTTTCTCAGTGACAGGGCTTCTACCTCCTACTCTCCACCCTCTCCCCTTCCTTCCTTCCGATCGTCATTCTTGTCAAAAGTCAAACATAAAACTGTGTGCCCACCATCCTGATCTGTCTCCAAGGAGCCTACCTGCACTCACAGGGCTCCCAGGAACCAGACCCCTGCGGGAAGCCCATTGCCCCAGGGGTGGTAGGGCTCGTACATGGGACCGCATTCTCTGGTCTTCTTGCCTAGGAAGCTGGATTTGTACCAGGAACCTTTCATCTGAAAAGGCAACTCTGGGCTGGGGAGAATACAGCCGACTTGACAAAGTCGAGAGGAGTTCAGTGCTGGTCTGCCCACGCTCTGGGCATGCGTGAGCCCTCAGCAAAACACAGCTGGCATGTCTAATTTTAGCCTCGCCTGCCTTGAAAAGGGACCCTTTAAGGAAATATATTTCCTCTGAAACAATCTGTATTATAATGTAGCAGCTGATAGACACGTCAGAATACTACTTATTATTGGTGGAGAAACACCCTGCCAAGTGATTATGATTTTTGTTCTTTGTGTTTGTGTATGATGATGTCAGGAAAGTGATTAAAGCCTCCATGAATCATAAAGAGATAGACAGTGAGAGAAACAGTGATTTTATTTATCAAGACGATCATAAACCGAAGGGGACACCTCTTTTGACTTTTACAAAATGGATGTAATGATCAGATTGATTATTTCTGCTGTGATAAGTTGCTAATTGTGATCTGATGATGCCTGGCTTGTTACGAGCAGTCCTGGAGTAGACTACAACATTTCTTCAATACTTACCATCCTCCACGTTCTTCGAGAAGTAAAAGGTTAGTTTCTAAAGCAGGTCTTGGATTCCTTCGGCTTTAGTGCGTTCACAGGTTTTGAAAGCATCCGGGACACACTTTTTCCATTTTCACCAGCAAGCTTAGCCCGTCTGCCTTGATTTTTTCCTTTCTCTCCCTTCCTCCCTTCGTCCTCCTGTCCCTCCCGGGGTCTGCTGTGTTTTGTTTCGCAGTGTGGCTTACCTTGAAACTTGGCAAGCAAAGCAAAGAAGGCAGCTCTTGTGCGGGGTTGATGGAGGGAAGGATAAGGAATCATCCGCCGCCCACATTTGAGTTCCCCGGGATCAGCGGCAGCGGCAGCAGCTCTGCTGCAAAAACCGCTTTGCTATTCGAGATAGCCAGTAGAGGGAATCGGAACTTTGCTTGCAGCAGGGGTTGAAGCAGCCTTTTTTTTTTCTTGGAGGAAAGACTGCAGCCTTCTGGACTGCGTACGCTGCTCCCTGGAGGGGCTCTCCGGGTCCCACCCACTGGCTGGAAGGAGGGGACGTGAATGAAAGGACAGGACAAGCACCGAACACCATGTCACTCTGGGAGGGACACAGCAGCAACTGAGCTGTGAGAGGTTTTTTTTTTTTTTTTTAGTTTTTCTTTTCCCCTTTCTTTTTCTTTCTCCCCCCCCCTTTTCTTTTTTCTTTTTCTTTCTATTTTTTTTTTTCATTTTCTTTAAGGTGGGGAAAGAGACACACAGGAGACAGGAAGCTGATCTGCAAGATTTCCGAGTTGTGCTAAAAGGACTTTGATTTTTTTTTTTTTTTTCCTTTACAAACGTTGGCAATTGACATCACTACGGACAGCCGGGTAGAGAACAAACTGCCTCATCCCAAGTGGACCCCAGGCGAGAGCTGGGGAGGCTGTGTGGGGGTTTTCCTACAGATCCCCCACCTCCCTCTTTTTTTGGTGTGTTTCTTTTTAAAATTCTTGCTGTGTTGGAACTAGTGAGTGGTGGAAGACTCTCCGAAGCCTCATCAGTCATCGGGACTGTCAGGAATAGTGGTTCCAGAGGAAGCTCGGCCTGGGGCACATACCCTGTCATCCAGTTCCCTGCCTCGGAGATAGAGATTCCAGCTACATGGGCAAACGCCTGGATCAGCCACAAATGTACCCCCAGTACACTTACTACTATCCTCATTATCTCCAAACCAAGGTATGGCTCGCTCCACAGTCTGGCAGCAGTGGGGTGTCCTTCTGAACTTGGGATGGGAAACAGACAGGCATGTGAATTATTATTTACCGCCTCCCTCCCCTTACCCCATCACCTCTTCCTGCTTCTTTGAAATTAGTAACATAGCAATGGAGTTAATGAAGCAGAGAAGGATGTAAGAAGAAAGCAAGCCTGGAACCGGTGCTTTCTCTTTAAGAAGAGATAATAGTTTTACTTGAGTTCCTTTGTTGTTATTTGGCTGCCTAGGTGTTCCTGATATCCCTCAAGTCCTTGGCAGATGGGCAGGGTTGTTAAAAAGGAGATCATAACAGTGATGATCAGGCACAAGAATACAATTTCAGGGGCTTTTCTGGTGAGCTGTTCTTTGTTTGTGGCTCTAAAAGGTTTTTTCCCACTGGATAGGACACGCCGGGGTGGGGGCGACTCAAACTTTTAACCGCTGAGTGTAGAATGAAAGACGGGTGTGGGAAGGTACACGGTAACTAATTCAAGTCTCTTAGAGTTTGCTTGGGTACATTTTTGTGTTTTTTATGGCCTTATTTTATACTGAGGATGATCAGGATGCTAGAGAGTGAATTTAGGAGCTTTACAATAGATGTTCTTTACTTTTAGAAGCTAGATGTTGGCTACCATCAGGAGGCCTGGGTCTTGAAAAACGATGAAATATACTGATGATAATTGGACATGAATTGGTTAAATACTTTAGGCTTTATGTGTGTGCTCAAATGATCATGAGGGGGCCAGTGGCAAGACCACGTCACTGAACAGTGGGTCATGCCAATCATGAACTTTATCCTGCAGTTCAGACATGGAAGACTCTCAGGTGTGAAATCACTGCTCCAATTTGTCGATTACATCGGACTTAATTTCAGGGGAAAATGTTGGTTGTTCCCCCTTGAATGCATGGATTGTATTCCTTTATGGATGATATTATTTTATATTGCATTAGCCAGACTCTACTGTGTTCTTGGTAAATACGCCGGGAGTGAACAAGGCATGCCTGAGTGATCTGTGCTGTCACCAGGACTGGGTGCTGTGATTTGGGTTTGGTAATTCATGCCGTAGTTAGCTCTCATTTATTCTCTCTCACCAAACAATGCTGATTTGTAAACCAGATCAGGCAGCAGACTTTCAGTATTATATTAAAGATTGTTCTTTTTTTCCTTTCCTTTCTCAGTCGCTTTACAATTTGCCCTGCCCCTCCAAGGTCGACTCACACTGCTTTTTGCCTTTGTGAGCATTTAGTTTGGGCTGCTGCTGAAATAAATAGACCAGCCCGCCTGCTCCAGTGGCTAGAGTTTTAACTCTTTGGGGGATTGGGAAGAGAACGGCTGCCTGCCTTCCTCAAAGAAATGGCAAAGCAAGGACAAGTTAAAAGGGGAAATTTATAGTCATTTCTCATCCCCCAAAGAAACAGAAACAACAAACAAAGGTTGCATGAAAAATATCGCACATTCCATCCCCTTTAGTCATTTGGCTAAATTTTTCCAAATGTTTCAAAATTCATGCTTTCTTTTTGGTTCTCGTTTTCTCTGATGAAGTCTATTCAGAAAAGAAACTTTAGATCAAAATGAATGGAATAATTGCTTTTTGGTTTGAGATTTCGTTTAACCTATTGCTAGCAGGAAATAATGTCGGGCACGTTATATTAAAGACACAGGACCAGCTACACTGGTGGGAAGTTTGTGTGTGTGTGTGTGTGTGTGTGTGTGTGTGTGTGTGTGTGTTGTTTGGGGTAAAGAGGAAACATAGGGTGTTGAGGGAAAAGAGAGCTAGAAAAATAGAGAGGGAATTTAAAAATAAATCTGTTTTGGGGTCCTATGTAGTTTAGTGTTGTGTAGACAGGCAGCATCTGGATCTTGTTACTTTCAAGCTAGTCAAAGCCATCAACTTCTGGAACATTTTTAAAGAAGTTAGGTCCATTAGGCGACCTCAGCTGATATTTGGGTAATCAGATCAGGGTGGTAGGGAGTATAAGATCAGCTACTTTGGCTATCATGGTAGTTCATATTGATTATTACGTTGTAAAATTTCGACAGTGCTGTGAAGTTGTCAAATATCATTACAGTGGCTCTGAAATGACAGACATTAATGACATTCCTGGAAGCTGAAGATATGAAAATGTGCCCTGTTTGGGAACTTAGGCACTCAGGGAATGGGAGGAAGGGTCAATGTGCAATATTTTAAAATATGGGAACTTTCTGACAGCATTCACACTGTATAATAAAGTCTCATCACACCCCAGAATAGCATGAAAACAACCGGGTTGTTTCGGTAGCACTTTTTGCTCCTTTTACACTTATATCTCAAAATATAACCTATAGTAATTTTGAAGGAAATGCATGCTGCTTAGATTTATTTGCTAAGCCTAGGTGGAATTCCATAAAATCCACTGTCCTTCCAGCCTTGGCTTGTAGTTTTAATCCAATTTTAAAATCATTGCTTTTTAAAATGATGCTGATATGTAAAGAACATTTATGGTTGATAAAAATAGAATTCTGTGGTTGACAACAAAAATCATATTCTGGTGATACCATGCCTTAAACTGCTCTCTAAATTCAGGTGTTTTTAACTCACCCACAAAAGCTATTTGCTGACATTAGTTTTGGTTGGAAAATCTTCATGGGATGTTTATTATTGTATTCATTCAGAAAATGCCAAAATACTGAGCCTTCTCTTTCTACCTAAATATGTGTGTTAAATGCAGCTGCTATTTTCTTATGATAAAACAAAATGAAAACGGATTTTGAAATAAATGCAACTGTCTTCCATTTCCTCAAATGCAATTTAAGTTTTAGAAAAACTTGTGACACTTCCCTGCTTTCTCTGCTCCCCTTATTACCCATCACATTAGAACCAATCTCTTCACTTTGTTGCTTAAAAAGAAAAAAAAAATAGAAATAAGATATTTATGCTTTTGTTTCTTTGAAAAAAATTTCCAGATGCTTAAAATGTTATATTAGAAAAATGTATGGGTAAGTCAAATAAAAGGAAAACCCATGGCTGACTTGTAGCTGTTGTACCTTGTAGTAATGTGGGTATAACATGCTTACTCTCCCAGACCTCACATTCAAAGTTGACTTGTCAATTTTCCTTTTGACCGATTTTGTTTTCCTAGCCAAAGAAGCAATTTCTAAAAAGAACATTACTTTTATTTAGAAGTAATGAAGAAATTTTGGTGACATGTCATAATATTTCAATAAGAGACATAACTGGATTTTAAAAAAAGAGTTTCATCAAAACGAATTTGCTGTTGGAAAAGCCACCCATAATAATCAGCAAGTTTTAGAGAAAGGAGACCAAAAAATCGTTTCTTAGCTTAATGATAATATATGTAATGATGTTTGCTTAAGTTGTAACATAATATTTCTCAAGAATTTTGTTACAGCCCATTCCAAATAACCAACCTGTTGCTATTGCATTATGAGACCCAGGGTGAATTTCAATCTGAATTCGAGGTACTTTGCGGGTGCTTTTTTTGAAAAACAAATGAGTTGAACTGGGAAAGCTAAAGAGTAAAACGTGCTCACAGCCTGGTGAGTTGATATTTTGCAGTTGAGAAATAGATATTTCTCTCATATGTGATATTTAGAAAACTTTAGTCATCTTCATGAAACTTAAAACTCACCCAAGCACACACAGCAAGTTTGTCTTTTCTTCCTTTCCACGCCCTTGCCAGATCACTCTATTTCTCCCAGTTCAGTGCAGTTTCTAATCACTCTGCTTTTTCATCAGTCTGCTGCCTGCCCTTCTTTGGCCACCTGCTTCCCCAGAAGACCTTGAAGAAAGGGGTTCAGACCATGGAACCCTGACCAGGTCTCCCTGGCTGGTGGTACTCAAATTCTGTTCAGAGCCTGGTGTGAAGTTGGGGTCAGGTGGAGGAGTAATTCATCACCAGCACACTGATTTCAGGCTGAATTTCCAGCCATCTGCAGCTGGACAGCCGCCCGGCTCTAAATGTCTAGCTGGACCCCAGTTGTGCCATGAAAAGAGCAGACACTTGAAAACACAAGGCCAGGGCGGCCTGCAAAGGAAGAGGGAGCCTCCCCAGGGGCCAAGGATATTCTTAAAGATGTGAATGTACAGGTCCTACAAAAGCAAAACAAAACAACCCTTCACACATTCCTTGCACATGAAAATGTAGAAAATCTTGCAGAGGGAGGGAATGAGTTTAGAATTTCCTTAGTACTTCCTGCCTCAGATTTGCATTGATAGTCAGAGTTGGTAACTTGCCAGTTACCAACCAGTTTTGTATGTTTCAGCCTTGAAAACTCCCAGGTACTGTTTTCCTTTGAAAGACTGAAACATATAAAACCAGTTTTCTAAAAATCTTACAGCAAGAGAATTTTTAGGAATAACTCCACATATTTCTTTCACTGCAGGGGGGTTATATGATAGCATGAAATGATGATCGATCTTATCTCCTGTTAGAATGTATACTATTTTAATTGGTTTTAAATGAGAGAAACAGAGAAACAAGAGGCTACCTTGCCTTTTCAATTTGGTTTTTTTTCTTTACTCCTCCAAATCTTTGTTTGCATTGGGATTTTCTTTCTCTAATGTCGTCATTGTTTTCACAACGCTAAGTTTGGTGCCTACTAAAAGGAGTAGAAATGTAAAAAGTTCATGCTTTTTTTTTTTTTCTAGAATAATTCCAAATTTAAGGGAAACACCGTGTATATTTCTTTGAACAGTATCTTTCCAACACATTTTCCTTTCACTTTCTCTCAATTTGGAAAAAGAAAAGCAGAATTATAACTCAAACCTATTTCCATGAAGTACTAAAATGTATTTGAGGGCTGGAGGTAGGGGCCACGTGAAGGAAGAGGCCAAAGAGAAGGAAGGATGCACATCATTCCAGGTCTTTCTGGCTCCAGGAGTTACGGAAAGCTTCGTTTTTGCACTAATATGATTTACACAATCCTTTTTGACATTATCAGTCTTTTTGGCAGAGAGAAGTCTCAGTCACAATGATGCCCATG